AGCGCGCTGGCGGGGCAGGAGCGTGTCATCCTGGCTGGAGAAGCAGACTCGCTGCTCGGTCTCGTTGGCTTAACGCGGCTCAGGAAACCCGAATGTGAACTCTTTGGTGGTCGGTGAGGCCACGGAGCCCGGCGGAGCACCGGGAAGCACCGGGAGGACAGCAGCGCGGCCAGAGAGACCTCACCAGCGGAGCGGCGAGGCGGGTGAGTTTACCCCGGCAGTGTGGATGTGTTCCCGGGGTCCCGGAGAATCACGGTCCCCGGTGGTTTCCTGAAACAGCTGCAGGGTAACGAGTTAGTTAACCCGGTCGTGGTTCAGACAGGAATAAGCTGATGAGTTAGAAATCACGGACTCGGTAACGGGAGGACGGGTTGTTGGTGACTGCTTCAGACATCTGGACTGGAGGAATGATGAAAGCGTGTAGCCGTGAGCAACCTCTCCACTTGGTGTGTTAAAGGGCCCTGGGGGGCCTGGATGTGCAAATCCCGTCTGAAAAACCACAAAGCTGTCCTAGAGCTGCCGTCCTAGAGCTGCCGTCCTAGAGCTGCTGTCCTAGAGCTGCTGTCCTAGAGCTGCTGTCCTAGAGCTGGGGCTGCCTCAGCTGCTGCTTTATCATTAGAAGCTGTTATTATCAGGTTCTTGACAGATTCCTGGTAATTACAGCCTATTAGCTTTAATTAAAGGGATGCAGGGTGCCATGCCTTATGCTGTCGCCCAATGATTCCCCATCTCTCTCTCTCTCTCTCACACACACACACACACACACACACACACACACACACACACACACACACACACACACACACCCTATCATCACAAACTTGACATGAAAGAGGGCTGAAGAAGGGCTTCGTCACCACCTGCTAAACGCTTGTGAAGGGAACCATTGAACATGTTTCTGTGTTTGGTGGAGCTCATGAGTGCTACACGTATCTGGTGATGTGTAGAACCGGGTTCTAGGGCAGCAGGGATACAGCTCTTATGCTGAAAACCACACACCACAGACACATCCAGCTCATGACTAACTCAGAGTCATGACTATAATCAGAAATAATAATTACAAAATGCTTTTTGTGTGAAGTTGACTTTTAACATGCAGGCTGAACATGAAGATAGTCTCCTACACCTCCCTCCTGCAGTGGCTTCTGATAGAAAACAGACGGTGAAACTCTAGGATTAGACAATCCTGACAGATCTATGTCACGCTGTCACTGACATTCATGGACTCACCCATCTGGACTCGCGACGGGAAGGCTGTTGTTGGTTTAGTCCAGGAAACAGCAGAGAACGACTAAGCTAGTAGAAGCTAACTGTTAGCATTAGCAACTCTACCACACAGCAGAACTCCTCCTGACTTGTGTTATTAGTGGAGATAAAACATCAACGCTGCAGAGCAAACGGAGTCAGTGGTAGAGCCGTGTGCTGTTAGCCAATCAGAGGAGAGATGAAGTAAGACTGGTGTGTTCTGCCACGTTTTCCTCCAGCTGATTTCTACATCCTGAAACAGGAGCACCGGAGCGTTTTGTCCCCAGAGAACGACGGACACGGCTTTATTTCCTTCTAGAGACCTTGTGAGTGAAGTTGACCTTTACTTGTGGAGCAGAGAGCTCTGAGTACACCTTCAGGGCTACACACGAGCTCTGAGTACACCTTCAGGGCTACACACGAGCTCTGAGTACACCTTCAGGGCTACACACGAGCTCTGAGTACACCTTCAGGGCTACACACGAGCTCTGAGTACACCTTCAGGGCTACACACGAGCTCTGAGTACACCTTCAGGGCTACACACGAGCTCTGAGTACACCTTCAGGGCTACACACGAGCTCTGAGTACACCTTCAGGGCTACACACGAGCTCTGAGTACACCTTCAGGGCTACACACGAGCTCTGAGTACACCTTCAGGGCTACACACGAGCTCTGAAACGACCGCATCACTGTCCTGTTTGCATCGCCACAGATTTAACTGCAGTGGAAACAGGAGGAAAGCTAAACAAACATTAAAATGTGGAGTTCATTCAGGAGTAGCACGTTCTACAACAAGAAGAAAACACCAGTCGATTTCTGTGAAACAGATGGTAAAGTCATCGTTACCATGGTGACCCCAGTGAGCCACTGACAGCGTGCCTTTTGACCTTGGTTTTGTTACTTGTGTATTTTACTCAGTAGAGCGTTTGTCTCGGCTTACATCGTTGCTCCTCACCGGAATAACGAGCCGAAGTTCCATCATGAAGACGTGAAGCCGAGCTGAGCTCACAGTTCATGACCCAGGTTGGTCCAGCCGTCTATGTCCAGCTCTGTCCTGGATGTCTCACCTGGCTGCGGATGCCACGCTCTGAGGGACTAACGGCAGACTGAACTCTCCTGGTTCAGTCCGGTGCTTAAGGCCATCAGATGTTCCTGAGAGCCTGGGAGCCACACGAGTGACCCGATCTGGGGTTCCCTGGAGTTTGTCCTCTCCTTTTCCCAACACCGTCCTCGTCAGCCAGCTCCCACCCGACCCGACTCCGGCGCTCGTATTTCACCACTCGCTCACGTTGAGGCGTCACAGAGCACACTGGTTCCGTGCTCTGCGTGTCATGCACATGGCCTGGTGCTCGAATGCAAACGCGTCCAGAGGATTTCACGAGGTCAAGGTTTTAGTGAAATACACGACCCGCACTTGTGTAGCGCCTCTCAGAGTAAGGACTCCAAAGCGCTTTACACTACAGTGTATCATTCATCCATTCACACTCTGGTGGGGATGAGCTACAATGTAGCCACAGCTGCCCTGGGGCGCACTGCCAGTGGCGAGGCGAGGCTGCCGCACAGGCGCCACCGATCCCTCTGACCACCACCAGCAGGCAAGGTGGGTTAAGTGTCTTGCCCAAGGACACAACAGCAGAATTCTCTGTCCGGAGCCGGGATCGAACCTGCAACCTTCCGATTGCTGGAAAACCCGCTCAACCTGTTGAGCTGCTGCTGTGTACACCGGGCGAGCGAACGGTGAGGGGGAGTCTGGAAGCTGAAGCCTCGCTGATATGTGATGACATCATACGAGTCGGACACCGCCAGGCGGTGTTCGTTTTGTTCATGAAATAATTTCATCACCTTTTTTGTCATAAATATAAATTTACAGACAAAAACAACAGTCCTCGAAATTCTCTTCCCTGAATACAAAACGAGTTCACGGGTGTGAGAAAAGCATGAAATGACCTAACCGGTCCATTTCCTCTCATCACGTAGAAAACGGACAACCCAGGAGTATGTCAGTGATGCTGCACGAATGGGATTGGTTTGTTTTTATAGAATATACGGTTTCTGGTTGTGTAAATGAGGTGAAATAACATTTTAATCACCAGTTTTAACCACAGCACTGTTTGTTTAGAGATTATTTTATTGTATTGTTTTTTTCTGGTAAATTTAAAGGTGCACAATGTAAGAATAACACCCTGTGGTTGAACGTGGGTACTGCAGCGCTTTTCTAAACACACGAGTCTCTCTCTCACTCACATTGGAGAGTATCATGGCTGTTCCCAGTTACAGATCAGCAACACAAGATTCTGGATGAAGAACGAAGACGAGTCATACATGCTAAGCTGATAAATACTGTAATATCCAGTTACTGCAGTTAGCGTTGTTAGCTCAACGCTAGCCTTTAGCCTGCTCCACCATATATTTGAGTAAAACAAAAAGATGCTGTGACTTCTTAGGGGTACAAAAAATAACTTCTTGGTCGCTCTTGTTACTGGCTGATATACTGTCCACCTCTAGGGTTCTACAACCCCCCAAGGTGCTTCACAACACATCTAGTCATTCGTACACACACATTCACACACCAGCTAGCAAGGAAGGTGATGTTTCTTGCCCAAGGGCACGGCTACAACAGACAGAGCGGTTGGACCCACAACCCTCCCTTTAAGAGACGGGCACTCAACTCTTCTGCCTCCATGGTCCCAGAAGAACCAGCTGTTCCTTACGTCAGCTCTTCTGTCATTATCTGTACCTTTTTTCTCTCCAGTGCTAATAGTATGGCCAACCTCTGTTGAGCTCTCCATCTGAGCGGCAGTCTGGGGACCAGCGGTCTCCTTCTAGCCGACCGCTCTGGTCCCAGCTGCTGGCGCCCACGAGGTGTGTGCGTGTCCCAGTCACCATGCAGGGCTCGAGCTCTCAGCTTAAGAAGACGGAGGAGAAAACATTTGCTTTAGAAACATAGATGATGTCGTTCAGACGAAACCGTTTGTGTCCTTTTGTGCAACATGATTGAAATGTTCGTAATGACCTGATTGGGTGCGTAAGCGAATCCCACACAGCTGCTTCTCTGAACATCTGGACTCGTAGCACAGACCTGCTCTGATGAAACAGATGTCTGTTCATATTTAACGAGGGGCATACTTTACAACACAAAGAGTAAACAACCCTAAACACCTGCCACAGGATCCTGTGTGGGTAAAACGTCTGCTGAGGCGTGAGGACTGGAGTCGTGGACCGGTGGGACCTCTGGTTTAACGAAGCTTTGTTCTTCCAAACACACGCCGAACGTTTCCTTCAATTGTTGGTTTGAAAGGACGCCAAAGGGTCGTCACACTGGTAACTCAAGAATGTCTGAAGTCTAGGAAAGAAGCATCTTCCCAGTATCCTTGTGAGATGTCTTTTATTTTCCTGTGGATTTGATTCTGCTCAGATGAAACGTGGGTCTGTCTTCCAGAAACCGGGATCGTTGGCATTAGCTGCAGTTACTACACTGGTTTTCTCTGTTGTTCAGGTTTTACACACCCTCGTAATCCTACTCGGTAATAATCTGAGCAGATGTTTAAATGGAATCCTTTCTTTTGTTTATTTAGTTTTTGTGCTTCTTTAAAACAAAAATAAATCAACAATAAATCAGGACTTTGGACTGGTTAGTGGGGATTAACTCTTCAGCTAGCTAGCATTACGTGTCATTATCATAGCAGCCCAATTTCAAAATAAAAGCACCAATAATGAAAAAGTTATAAAGTGAAATGACCCTATGGCTGAATC